TCAGCTTTATGCCATATTGTTTCCTATAAAGGGAAGCGTAACAAATCTAGAGGAGTTACTAGGGATAAATCCTACATTGGATGGAAAATTAGAAATGTCATTCTGGTAATGGGAGGCCTAGCTTTTCCAAATTGATTAAGCTTTGGGTAGGTTTAATTATGGAAAAAGAAAAGCCCAAACAATTCTAGACAATCATCTTTTTCGATTTCTGGCTCTCTGCTCGATTTCTAGTGTCTGTGTTTTTCATTGTATGTGACATTTAAGTTTATACAAAGCATAGAAATAACCATGTTATGAATATTATTGGTACCTTATATCAAAAGTACCTCTTTCTGCTAGAAATATAAGATTGGAGGATTCTTGCTGTCCGGGAGGTTCTCCCCCCGCTCCCCGCCCTGGGAAGGTGGCATTTGAGCAGAGCTGGACTTCTTGTCCATTGATGAGGCCTCTTCTGTGGCTCGACATTCCAGAATGCCTCCTGGACAGCTCCCCCAAGATATCCCAAGTTCATTGCTATTCGAGTCTATTCCAACTCATGGAGACTTCATGTATTGCAGAGTATAATTGTTCCATGGGGTTTTCTTGACTGTCATTTCCGTGGAAGTAGATTGTCGGGGCTTGCTTCTGTGATGCCAGTGGGTGGGTTTGAACCTCCAACCTTTAGGTGAGTACAAACCATTTGCACCACCCAGGCCTCCTTAAGCCGTTCATTCCCATCTTCCCCACCCGACTTCTTCCATCTCAATCAAGTTCAAAACTCTCGACTCACCCTGGAAGACTTTCTCTTTGACCAAGTCCACACATGCATTCCAGTCAGACAATATCGGGGTCCCTGCTTCTTCTCCATGCCACAGTTCAAGTCCTCACCTTAGCTTGTCTGTACTGTTTCAGGAGACTCCTAACTAGTTTTCCAACCTCTGTTCTCCCATACTACCCTGCTTTCCATGTGATCTATCAATCTTTGCCCATTGCCCCCAGGATAAATGTTTTACCAGTGTTCAATCTCTCTGGCCATTTTCCACTATTCTCCAGGCACCTCCCTCAACCCCACCACACATACCTGTGCCCTAGACCCACCCCCAGAAAAGCTATCTCCTGAACACTGTTACAACAGCTTTCCTTTTGTTTGCTTTTCATTTTCTCCTGAAACACTCTTCTCTTCCCTTTCTTTCCTGGTAAATTTCTAACCATCCTGTAGTCACCAGCTCAACTTTAGTGATATTTCCGCCCCATTTCACTTCCTTGCTCCTCCTCTTCTGTTACGATCCCTAGTGCCTGTTGTCTGTCCTTGAGTCATTACTGACTCATACCAACCCTGTGCCCACAGGGTTTTCTAGGTTGTCACCTTTATGGGAACAGATCACCAGATCTTTGCTCCTGGTCAGCAGCTGGTGGGTTTGAACCCCAACCTTTCTGTTAGCAGCTGAGCTCTTAAGCATTCCACCTCCTGGGAATAGTGTCCTGTTTGAGTAGAGTTCTTTGTGCCCTGTTGGCCTGTCAATTTCCTGGTGACAGGTACCCCCTCTTGAGTATGTTTGTGCTGTTTTCTTTTTAAGGTTTTAGTATGAATTGAGTGAAAGTTTACAGGGCAGATCATCAGTTTTAGATTCAACAAATCATATACCTTGTTTCAGTACAATAATTATAATCTCCATGTACCATCAGTTAACAGTATTCTCTTGATTCACTTTAGATCTTTTTTTTTTTTTTAAACACTCAGGCATATATAATAAATCACACCACCAAAGGGCACATTCTGCAAGTCTGCTTTCTGGCCACTGGCTCTTAGTCCCTCTCTTTCCATGAGTCTAGAGTCCTCAGCTGCTCCCTCTCTCCATGTCCCCATCTTTGCCTCCATCTCTGGTGTCGCTGCTTCTCTGGATAGCGCCCTGCTGTCTGTGCTTCTTGAAGATACATTGTAGCACGTAAGAGTTAAATACAGAACTTATTTACTGAGCCAACCTGAATTCGGCAGAAGACCTTCAAATAGCCGAGTTGAGCCATATGAAACTGCTATTTTATTGGTCAATGTCAGCAATTTCATATGGTTCGACCTAATACATATCCACATTGTAATAATTATTCCTGTTTTGGCTTTTCAGACTACCTTAAAGCTCCCAAGAATTATTCTCAGTTCTGGGAGACTTGCTGATTCTATTCATTCTAGATATCCAGTTTTTCTAGCCAATAATAGATGCCTTTGTTAGAAATGTTATAACGATATAGTCTGTTTTCTTCCTTGACGTTGACACTTTTGCTATCATTTTTTTATTACTCAAATGGTTCATCATAAACATTAGGTTTTAAAGGAGTGGCACTGTGGGTTAATGTACTGGACTGCAATGTCAGTTTGAACCACAATGTCAGTGGTTCAAGCTCACCAGCCACTCATTGGAAACCCTATATATAGGGTCGCTATGGGTCAGAAACTGACTTGATGGCACTTAACAACAGCAACAGGGTTAATGGGAGTCCTGGTGTGGCACTGTAAGATTAGCTATAGACTGCTAATCACAAGGCTTGTGGTTCAAACCCACTAGCTGCTCCTTGGAAAACCCTGTTGTACAGGGTTGCTATGAGTCAGAACCAACAGGATGACATTTCCCAACAACAACATCAGGATAATGAGTAACATCTAGAATTATTGTATTTACATGTAGTTTTTCAGGATGAAAGTAGATGATGGTATTAGCTGGAGGACTTGTGGGTATTTTCTCCAGTGGGTTTAATTTCAATGACTATAATATAAAACTGGAGTCCTGGTGTGGTGCTATGGGCTAATGCGCTGGGCTGCAAGGTCGGTTTGAACTTCAAGGTCAGTTGTTCAAGCTCACCAGCCACTCCTGGGAAACCCTACACAGGGTCGCTATGAGTCGGAACTGACTCGACAACACTTAACAACAACAACATAATCTAGAACTAGAGTTGTCCTTATATTTAGAATGTCTTCTTTATTCTGTTTTTCCACTTTTCTCAGCACTTTAATATTCTTAATAGCCAAAGGGAGTCATGCTTTTTGGTCCCTCATCATTGGCTGGGTTCAAGATTTAAGGGAACAGTTCTTTGTGGGCATGGTCTTCTAAGACAATGGTTAAAGTGAAAAATGAGATGAAAAATTGAAAGAAAATATTGCAACAGGCTAAACTGGTTTTTAAATTCCTTTCTGGTTGGACAGGGCCAGAAGTATTAAATGTAGAAGGGGATTACCTAAAACTACTGCATTAAAAGATTGGGCTATTAGAGGATTTTTGATTCTGGATCTTCATCTACTCTTTGTTGTTGTAAGTACTGAGCAGGAAAGCTTCAAAACTTGGGAGAAATTTTCAGTAGAAGGGTGGTCTCTAGTCTTTATGTTTGCTCTTTTGATGAGTGGTAAGCACAACCAAGGAGCTCCGGTAGTATAGTGGGCTATGCATTGGGCTGCTAACTGCAAGGTCAGCAGTTCAAATCCACTAGCCACTCCATGGGAGAAAGATGAGGCTTTCTGCTCCCATAAAGATTTACAGCTTTGGAAAGCCTACACAGGGGCACTGAGTCAGAACCAACTCCACTGCACATAACCACCATCACCACCACCAAGCACAACCAAGTAGAAGATTCCATTCACAGGGAACCTTTGACCCTGTGGTTATCAATGGCCATCATGTATTTGACTAGAGTTTCTATACTTTTGTTTGTTTGTTTCATTTTTATAGGTGAAGGCAAGTGGGTTAGCCATAAACTTCAAAAATAGTGCAGAATGCAGTGATGCTTGGAAACGCATAGATAACCATGTTAAAGACTTACATGCTTGAAGGACTTGAACTTTGGCGCCATAGTATCGGGGTACCCATGGTGCCTTGTCAACTTGCGGGCAAAATCATTATTGATACAAATGTTTTTATTCTGAACATTAAGAATGCACTTGAAAAATACCCTTTTGAATGAGAGTCTATATACATGAATTTTAAAACTATATACAAATAATCACACCCAACAAGAAAACTGCTCATTTTGATTTTCCTTCTAAAAGACCATTGTAATGTCAGTTGGCTATATGAGATGTCCAAAATTTCATGGGGAAAATGGAATTAAAAGAGAAGGAATTTTCCACAAACCTTTAGGAGTGTTCTGGTACCTGAAGCCAATGATGCTTATAAGGAGGGGGCGCCTCTCTCTAATTCAGGCTTCAGCTCAAGTTTCTCTTACTGTCAGTGCATGCTCAATTGTTGTTGTTAAGTGCCGTCGAGTCGGTTCCGACCCATAGCGATCCTGAACAGGATTTCCGAGGCTGTAAATCTTTACAGGAGCAGAAAGCCTCATCTTTCTCCCGCGGAGCGGCTAGTAGTTTCAAACTGCTAATCTTGAGGTTCACAGCGTGATTTGTAACCACTACACTATCAGAGTCTGGGAAATGGATTCTAATACTGAATTTCCGCTCTGCTATTGGTCAACCTGTCTGGACTTTTCTTCCCCTTTTGGAATTTTTTTCCTCCCCTCTTTAATATTCCCTTCTAAAATCTCTGAGAGAGGTTGATTGTGTGAAACACAAATATTAAAGAAAATCAAGACCATGAGCAAGTCCTTTGAATAGATTTTTCCAGGGTTGGGGACAAATGAAAGAAATCACACAGTGATGTACCATCAAGGGTCCCAGGGAAGAAAGAGTTGTGTTTATTCCTGGACATGCATTGTCCCAAGAGGAGGCAGATCCTGTGGCGACCAGCAGCCGAGTCACGTGGTGGGAGGGGGCTCTTAGCTTCCTCCTCCACGTCCCCTCCTCTGATGTCACCGATCTCTCCTTCCCTGGGAGAGTTAATTAGCATTCACTTGGTGCCTCAGAGTAAGGGAAGGGAGGGAGCCAGCGCGCGCCTAGAAAGGCAGGAGGGAGATTGCAGTGGGGGCGCCGATTGGAGACCCAGGCCCTCTTGGCACAGAAGGGCGGCTTCAGTATGGCTGCAGGCTCCTTGGCAGCTGTCTCTGTGGACCAGTGGGCAGACGAAAATTGACGCTGACAAGACTTGCATCTTGGAAGGGACTGTAGGGAGGAACAGAGCCTCTCAATCACGCGGGTATAAATAGGAGACGGAGGGGAGCCTAAAAGAAAAGGAAGAGGAGGGGAGAGAAAAGTGTGTGCTGGGGGGAGCGGGGCAGAACATTTTTGGTGGATGGTGTGAAGCCAGCCATGGAAACTGCAGCTGAGGAAAATACTGAACAAAGCCAAGAAAGAAAAGGTACCCAGGCTTTGACAATAGCCTATTTCAAGCTTTTCACTGGGGGGTGCTTTAAAAAGGGTTGAGATGGATTTTGTCTTTTTTTTTTTTTTAAAGTCTCTGAAACCATCTAGATGTCAGGGGCTTGTTTTTGGGGTGGCTTTTGCATGTAGACTCATGTTAAATTTATAGAGCAGCCTCCTCGCTTCAACTCTTGCCTCTTCCAAATCCTTCTACCGAATGTGGTGTTTCACATGAGTCCAGCAGCTTGTCACCTTGGGTAGATGGATTGGGGAAACGGTCTTATTTTTATTAATGATTTCGTTGTCGCTTAGGTCCTGTGTTCTATACGCTACTTTGGCTTAGAAGCCTTGAGCATGTTCCAGGGAGATAGGATGTGGGGTGCTTTGCTAATGCTATGGAGGAACTGAGGGGCACGCGTGTTAAATATGTTTTGGTACCACTAATGCTCTAGCGATTTGGACATTCTCTTAGTTTCTTATTCTGAGTGTGATTTCGCCCTGTGACAATGTTGGAACTTGAGAGAATAATGTCAGCTCTATCACCTAGGGCTAATGGAAAAGTGTTGGGGTGGGGGGCATAAGGGGGCTATCCCTCTGCTATTTATGACTTTGAGATTTGGGGAAGGAAATTTGATAAAGGTTCTCTTTCTTGAAAGGAATCTTAAGAACATCTCAGGATTCTGACAAAATGACTTTTGAGGGAGAAATGAAGAGCTTTGCGGTAAGAGGATGCCAGAAAAAAGAAGCTAGACTGAATCTCTTTTCCTAGATAATGGACTGATTTCAAGTTCGATACAGCGCATAGCATCAGTTCAGGCACTGTTAGGTTAATGGGATCTCACTGCATTGTAATTTATCTCCTTCACCCAAAGTGATAGATTGTCACGAATGCACAAAAAAACATATTCTGGAACCAAGATGGCCCTATTAGTAAAAGGCATCAGGCTTGGTGATTTCTCACGGTCCTGGGGTCCATTGAAAATCACTAAACAATTGTCATTCTCCAGGACAGAGAGACACAGCTGGGTTTGGCTTATGACTATATAGGTTGAACCATAGAAATTGCTGCCTGCCAATCATTTCTCACCCATAGCAACCACAATTTTCTGTAGTTCCACTCAATAGTATTCCAGTGGAGAGACGGTTTGTATTATATGGCATTTCTTTTGTACACAATGCTTAAAGAACATTTTAGCCTAAACAGAAGGAATTTTGATTTTAAATTTGGAGTTTAGTTCAGTCCCTACAGCAGAACCAGTTTCCTCCTTTCCCCTACCCACACTTTTCGGGTATGCGGGTTTGATTATGTGTATGTGTTTCCATTTACATAAATGACTAAATAGCAAGCTGAGGAACAGAGATCAAAGTTTAAACATTTATTTCCACGAGGAGTAGAGACTAAGTTGGTTGCATACTTGGAGATAGAATAATGTGATAGCATTGTTCTGAGGAAGTCTAGCATGGTTTATAGCCATTTTTTTTTCCCCTCTAGAACAGATGATTTTGTCTAGTACATAATTTTATTTTTACTAATATGGTATTGGTCAGTGGAAGTTAAAACCATTTTGGGCTTTGTAAAAATACACCATTTTTCTCTCCACAAGCAAGCAAAGATCAGAAAACCTATGTAAAGTCTGAACTAAACAACCCTGTGCTTCTTGATCATTTAGTTTTATAGAGTGTTATTATTTGATGTCAATTAAACATTATTTTTAAAAATCTGCAGATGGCCACTACATCTGTGGCAACCTGCATATGAAAACTTGTTACTTATGGTTTTAGAGGCAAAATTTAGAAGCAAAGCATAATTTGTGGGGAAACTTAAAAAATTTATTAGAATTCATAAATAAGCACCAGCTCTTTTTAAAAATAATTCATAAATACCAAGCTTACCAGAAGCAATCATCCCATGTATTCTACATTGATTTTCTTTCTTTCTTTCTCTCTTCCTCTCTTTCTTTCTTTCCGGATCTCTAGCAACGGGGGTCATGATTGCTATGTGGTCTAGCATAAATGTTGATCTGGAGAGTGGCCAGGTTCCTTATCCTCCTTTAATTTAAGCTTAGATGCCAGCTGCTCAAAATCAAAACTCACACAAATACTTTCTTTGCCGTTCCCCAGTTTGCTCACCCATTGTCATCGAAGGCTTATACACAAACAGCAAACTATAGCCCCAAATGTTTGGACTTGCTTGCCATTCTATCCTCCTGATTGAATCTTTCCTTTGATAAAATAATGTATATTCACTCCATTGAGATTCACATTGAAAAACTGGATACAGTACAATTGCTTATAGAAAGCTTTCTATAATTCTTGAACTGGTGGGTTTTTGTTTTTCCTTTTCAGTCTTTCAGCATATATATTTAAATTAAATTTACTCCTATATGTTAAAGGGCAATGCCTATCTCTTAATTTGGGGTGTTATTGCCCAAATTCCTAGTTCGCTACAGATTGTGAACAGATAACTTTGGATCATTTTAACAATGTTTCAGTACAGAAATGAAAGGAAGTTTTCTAAATCGATCTCAGCTTTATAGGTCATGTCCACTGGGGCCTTAGGGTCAGGAAGAAGGATAAGCCCAGCCATTGGGATTCACCATCTGCAACACCAAGTGGTGCCTTACATGAAATCAGAATCACTTTCCTCCTATTTTAAGCCAAAATGAATCCAAGTCCTTAAAGAAGAAAGTATATGGATTTGAAAGTCTTTATAGCTGTTGTCACAAGAGACCACTGTTGTTACGTATCATTGAGTCGGGTCTGACTCATAACAACCCTATGTTCAACAGACCGATATGCTTCCCAGTCCTGTGTCATGCTCATAATCACTGCTATGTTTGAGCCCATTGTTGCAGGACATTACTAGATGAACAAAATGTACAAGTATTTAGTAGATATTCGGGAATTTTAAAGGAAAGTAAGTACGTCTTAGACGGATGCAAGAGATGCTGCATGCTTACAAATGACAATTTTGAAATGGCAGACCTTAAATTGAATCAAAGTGTGAGAATTGAGTTAAGCAGATGCACTGAATTGGAGTAAGTGGAGGAAATGAATAGGACAGAATCAAAGGAAATAGATCACGGGACCCAACAATAGAGATGGCGAATTGGGTTTCCATTTATTGCAGTAGAGTATTACTTGATATCAATTCATTTGGGAAAACAAAGACAGCTGGATTTAACGGGAGTGCAACCACAGAGAAGAAAACCAAATGTGATCATAAGAACAACTTTGTATGCTCTGAAAATCTAAATATCTGAGAAGAAAATGAGTTTTATATCCCAGGAATTGGCATCAACTGAAACATTTATTATACAAGGGGACTTCACAGGGTCCATGGCAAAATGGAATTAAAAGATAATGGCATGTCCCCACTAACTTTCTGAAGCCTTCTCATAGTCGGGCTCGTGAAATCCCTATGAATCAATGCTGAAATAAATTCCAGAATGCTAGGCTTCAAATTTGAGTTCCGTACCCCCATTGGAAGAAAATACACAGTGCATCAAAAACAACGTGTAATTTAAAATAATCTTCAAAGGAAAAAATGAGCCAGTTGCTGAGTTGTTTCAAGAAAAGAACACATCCATTTAAATCTGTTGAGTCAGATAGGTAGCATTATGTTTTGGGTTTTTGTTTTTTAACTTAGCAGGATGCGTGCACTTTGGGCTTTCTTTTTAGGGAGAAAAGCATTTCTCGACACTGCCTGGCTTACATGCCAAACAACCCAAGCGACACATTGCTAATGTAACACTGTACCCGGTGGCCCTTGAATTCTTTGAGTTTGAGAATTAGAATTACATTTTCTAACTTGATGATGTGACTGTGGTACAGAGAAAAGTTTTTAGATGCAGGTTTTTCTCTGTAAGTATCTATCTGCCAAGGAAGCCATCTGAAGAGAGGGTGTCTGGGGAATATAGAACTTGCCTGCCAGATGGTGTTGGACATATGTGGGAGGTATGACACCAGCCGCCTTTGATTTTTTTTTTTTTTTTTTAAAAGGAAATTTAAATGTGGGAAAGAATGCATGGAGCCATTTGGTGTCTCTCCTACTCTTTTCTCGTCAACCCACCGTTTAAAGACTCAACTTTACTAGTCTGATTGGCATTAGAAAAATAATTCTGGTCTGTTTCTGGAATTTTCATTTGTCTTCCCTGAAACTTGAGTGTCAACCTTAATTTTGTTATGGTACTTAAATAAATCCTCTGTTCTCTGTTACTGGGTTGTACAGGCAAATTTAGGGCAAATAACTTTAGTAAAATGATTTCTTAGTGTCTTATGTATCTGAGAACACAGGTAGTAGGGTGTAAATGTCCCAGTACTTGGACTTGTGTGCTGGGTAGGATCGTCTAAGAGTTACTCGCTCTCTTGCCTTTGTTACGTCTGTGGGAGTGTGTTGGCCAGGGTTAAGGGTGGCGTGCAACTGATGAAGCAGGCGACCTCACTGACTTTGAGAAAGGAGGCAACAGCTCAGCTTCACAGATGTCTCTGGTTAGCTGCTTATCCATTCATTCATTCGTTCATTCATTCATTTACTTCACAATGTTCTCCTTTGAAATGCCATCCTTCCTCTGTTAATTCAGCTCATGTTTTACTGACAAGTGTGCTAACTCATGTTTGGGGACCAAAAAAAAACCCCAAATTCCCACTCATAGCGACCCTACATAGGATTTCCAAGATGGTAAATCTTGAGTAGACAGCATATCTTTCTCCTGCAGAGCTGGTTTAAACCACTGGCCTTGTGGTTAGCAGCCCAATGCATAACCCACAGGACCACCGGGCCTCCTTTAGGGATCATTGAGTGTGGTTTAATCTTGGTTTTGAACTACAATTGTGCTGATTGGTGGGAGATTAAATCGCAGACCACATGCACGTGGATCCTTAGCCAATCCAATATTTATTTCTCTTTGGAGAGTAGTGCACTTGGAGAAAAAGAAAATGTCCGCTTAAAGGCTGAAAATGTCCGCTTAAAGGTGTGGTACCACAGGGTAACCACTCAACCTCAAGGTCGGTTTGAACCACAAAGTTTGTGGTTCAAACTCACCAGCCACTCCTCTGAAACCCTATACAGGATCTCTAAGTTGGGTCCAACAGACTCAATGGCTCTTAACAACAATAGGCTGACTATGACTTGCATTAATTGCTTTCTATAGTGAAACCCTATTATGTAACAGGAGCAAGTATTCCTCTTCTGCAAAAAGCCAGATATTCCGGACTATGTGGAGCACACAGTCTCTGCCTCGCCTTCTCACCTGGTCTCTGGTAGGGCAAAGCAGCTAGAGGCTGTACTTAAGTCAATGGGTGTGGCTCTGTTCTAATAAAACTTTATTTACAAAAGCAGGTGTTCATACCTTGCCATTCTCTGCTGTATTTTAGAGTGTTGTTATGGAATTCCTTTAACACTTGAACCACTAAAAGTGAAGGGTGATAAATCTAGCTTTCAAATACCTTGCCCCACAAATAGGACCTTTCCAGTGAGCCTAGCCTTTGTCATTTAGTTGCCTCTGGGTCACAGTTTGCTAAATGTTAGAAAGCATAACCAGGCTGCCTTTCAGCTGCTCAGATGTACTCATTAAATCACATCTCCCTAAAAGAAAAAAACATGAAGAGGGCATTGTTTTGTTTGCATTTCTTTATCCTGGTAAAAACAAAGATAACCATGCATTTACCATTTCAACATTTGTTGGTTTGTTTACATGTACAATTCCATGACAGTTTATGTTCATCTCCGAATTCTTCCATTAACAGTAACTAAGGCTTTGGCTCTTTTTTCCCCTTCCATTTCTCGTTGCTTCCCCCCCACACCCCCAACCCCATACCCACCTTTTTTCTTTCTCTCTTTTCCCCCCATGATCCTCCCATAGTTGTCTCTCTCTCCATAAGCCGCATAGGTCACCTCAGCCCCAACCATCAATCATGTCTTGGAAGTCACTGTCTCTTGCTGTTCTGTGAATCTGGATAGATCTCCGTCCCTGTCTATCTTGCTGCTCTCCAAGATGGAATGTTTTTGCAGTCTTTAGCTCCTTCAGGACGCAACCCACATCTTCCTGGGTGAGTCCATTTCCAGTTGCCCATACCCAACAGGGTGTTATTATTCCACCATTTGAGCTGAGCCTCAGAGCCATGTGACTCTCATCTAAGTGTTGGAACTCTACTCTTTGAGATTTAAAAGTCTTTAGATGTAATATCTTTATTTGATGGTGGCTCCGACAGCTAACATGGCCTTACTTCCTAAAGCATGAGTCCAGGAAACTTCCACATAGTTGGTGATCTTACCTCCACTCCTGCTGGAGTCTCTTGTTTTCCCGCAAGATGAGGCTGGCTGCCTTGCTTTTCTCAGAAAACATGTTAGTGTTGGGCAGGCAGTGTTTTTGTGTTGTGGGTGCCTACTACCTATACCGGAATGTCTGTAGTTCCCTTCCCCCATCTACATGAGACGCAGACAAACAGGCAGAAGGTGACCAGTGTGTCCTGTGCAGCATCTTCTTGACTCGCATGGCCTGGATAAGGTAGAAGTCAAGTGTGGCAGGGGGAACCAAAGGTCCATTTCTTGGTCCACAGTGTCCCAGGGGCTCCCTTGTTTGCAACCAAATATTTAGTTGGCAAACCTTTGTGGGCACCTACTGGAGTCCTGGTGCGACGCTGTGGGTTAATGAGCTGGACTGCAAAGTCGGCTTGAACCGCAAGGTGGGCGGTTCAAGCTCACCAACTGCTCCGCGGAAACCCTATGCGAGGTCACTGTGAATTGGAACCAGTTTGATGGCACTTAAGAACAACTGTGTGCCGGGCATGTGGTGCTAAATATTTTTACAAGGAGGATAATAAGTTTTAGATTAAAAAGATAGTGATTGAAGTATTTATTTGAGATCGATATGAAAGACTCAGACAACTTTGTCAAAGAGAAGTCTGATCAGACAGTGAGTTGATACAGCTGCCTTCAAGGCTGTTTTCATCCGTTCCACTGGGTTTCCTTAGTTTCAGAGAATGTAGCCCAACCTATGTCTGAGACAGGATCCTCGTGAGCAGTGAAGCAAACATCGAATTCCCATGAGAGAACATTTCTTGAGGAGGCCAAGAAATCCAGCTCACCTCCAAATGAAGCACAGAAATCCTATTGTTGAGCCGACCACTGTCTCAACCAAAGAGCAGAAAAGTGTAGCAGCTGCTCAGGTGCAGTAGGACAACTCGTTGTTGTTGTTGTTGTTGTTGTTCGGTGCCATCAAGTTGGTTCCAAGTCCTATCAACTCTGTGGTCAACAGACCAAAACACTGCCCAGTCCAATTCCATCCTCAAATTCCTTGCTGTGTGGGCCCAGGAGCCACGGTGTCAGTCCCAACCTGATGGCTGAATGATCTTGGGAAAGCGATTTATCTTCTTGCCTTTGGTTTCTTCCTCAGTATCTCTCTCATAGGGTGGTTGTAGCACATGAGATACCATCATAAACACTCGGTATATCATAGCGATCGGCATTGTTCTTGGCAACAAAAGACACACGACAAAAATCGTTTTGTTCTAACCTTATCCTATCTTTTTATTTATTTTTGTTTTGCTCTAAGTAAGGTGTTTTTATCTTACCTTGAAGTTCAAAAAGGTTTTCCTTTCTTGAAAACTTACCTAGGAAATGGTGTCTCTACTTCCCATTTTAAGAAAATGACAGAGAGTAGAGTTAAGATTTTCTGCTTGCTAGGTCTTTGTCCTCAGTAATTGAAGGTGCTTGATCTGCTAATGGAATAATGATCCACATCAGTAACAGAATCATTCTTTTTTATTGTTAAAATTCTGTGACACCTCAGAGGGCCATGCCCCTTAACTCTGTTTTGTGGGATTCTCAGACATTAACCAGCCAAGATTCAAGTTCAACTAACAGTTACCAGAAACCTGCTCTGTGCCAGGCACATCAGTAGGTAATTTTCTCCTCAAACTTGTATGAAGTAAGAAATACAGTCATATGATGCACAAGGGCCCAGAATCCCTAGGAAGCCAATTGTCACCAGATTTTCCCGATGAGGACTGGGTACCATTATGTAGCATGAGCTGGTATTCTCTGTTGCTTATACGACTGGCAATGATAATACTACTCTGTTGGTCTGAACATGCAATCAAAAGAAAAATACTGTGAATTGAGAAGCCGTGTTTTCACTACAGAATACTGTCTGCCCAAAATGGGCCTCTAAGGGGTTAGAGGGGAAGGGAAAGACAGAAAATAAGGAACGAAAAGCTAATTTGGAAGAATTGATGTCACCTTACATGCAAACTCAAGTGTTGTCAATGTGTCATGCTGAGTGTGGAAGCTGCTTCTTAGGGCTTGCATTTGAATAGCATATTTGGGTAATGCCCCAGGTTGCCTTTATATGATAAAAGAATAACTAGAAATGCTGATATCAACTCTTTGCTGGGGATAGAGACACTGACTCTTTGCCACCTGAAATTGGCAGTGAACAGCAGAGCTGAAATGGAAATTGGCAGGTACCACTGGATGTACCCAGGCTCAAAGAACCACCAGTACCATCCTGTGCCAACCCAGGGGGACAGGGCTGACCCCTTGAGCAGTCCAGGTAAATACAGCCTCGGGATGCATTCTAATAGCAAGTCACTGTTATCTTGAATATGATTTGTAATGGCTTTTTCAGTTTGGTGCCATTTTATGTTTTGCTTTGATGCATTAATTTGTTCACATGGGCATGGGTGAAATTGACCCTTTAAACAGCTTTAATCATCTTTCTTTTTTCTCTCCCCCTCTCCATTCCACCCCATCTTTCTCCTCTCCTCCCCTTTCTTCCCCTTCCCCTCGTCTTCTCAAAGGGAGCAGAGCACCCTGGGCTATGCCTTTGGGGTAAACCATAAAATGTCCAGTGACAAAACCAGTAATGGAGGGAGAGTCTCACACATCCAATCATAGAACAGAGAACTGGGCAGGGCGCTCAAGTGTCTTCCCAGTCCCGCCTCTTAGCACCACCCTGTGTTAACTTGTTGCCTTTGAGAAGTAAAAGAAAAATCAAAGCCCCTAAAGCTAGGATCAGATAACTGTGTTCTTGATTCCACCCCAGGTAGGTTTGTGGGATCCGAACTCCGGAAGAGTGCTGGTATCTTACAGCTGTCAGGTGCTTGTGTGAGTGAAATATGCATGAGCCAATTGGGAGTGCTAGAGGGAAGAAATGCCAAACACCCTGAACGGTTCCAAAAGTGTATGTGGGTCTTCGTACTGGGTACCCAGAGCTAAGACTCTGTGTAATTCAAGTCACTTTAACTGTGGACCTTAAAGGGATGGTGGATCGTGGATCCAATAAACATAACAATGAAAGAATCTCTATGACTACATGAAGCCACAGTGTCATTGCTCCCAGTCGCTTATTTTTTCAGAAAGTAGAAATGATAGTGTACAATAGAGCACAATGCAACACACTTACCAAATTGCCAAGTCTGAAAACCCGTAACTAATATAAAAATCAACCGTTTCCATCTTTCTTTTTAAATCTGATTCTTGGCTTCCGGTTACCACATCATCTGACTTTAGATTTACTTCTGTTATCATGGATAAGCTGTTCGTTCATTTGACATACAGCCAGGAGAGGCCAGCTTGATGTGCGCCTGTGTAGTACTGCTTATGAAAGGAGCAAGAGGGCACGTTTCCACCAAGCCTTTAAAGAATGGCGGCTTCTGGAATCGTCATCATCTGCTATTAAGCACCTCCCCCAGAAAAACTCCAAAACCAAACAAGAACTCAAGCCTACTGCTGTTGTGTTGCTTCTAACTCCTTGCCATCCTAGAAGACAGAATAGAACTGCCTCATAGAGTTTCCAAGGCAGACTTCCCCAATGTTCTGGAATCTGCCATTAGGTGTAATATCCAGACAATGGAATGTAATCTGGCCTTCAAGAGGAATGACATCCCTATACTTGTTACAACCTGGTGAGCCCTGACTGACCCAAAAGACCAAATATTGTTTGATGTAATTTAAGACCAAATATTGTTCGATGTAATTTAGATGAAATGCCCAGAATTGGCACATTCACAGAGGACGGGAAAGATTGGTGGTGGCCAGGGGCTCAGGGAAGGAGACTAACAGCTAATGGGTACACGGTTTCTTCTGGGGTGATGGAAATGTTCTAAAATTCGATTGTGATGGTGATTACACAACTCTATAAATTTACTTTTAAAAAAACCACACCAGTTGTACAGTTTAAACAGGTGAATTTTATGGCATATATATATATATATATATATATATATATCAGAAAAACTGATTTGAATAAAAGCAAAAAAAATGCCATTTACTGTGCATAATCGATGACAGAGATAGAAAGGGGCATCTTGTTAACATGACAAGAGGGGCCCCATGTTGTCAGAAACTTCGGTTTGAGGGAAGACAGTCTTGCTTTAAGAATAAGTGTTGGAAGACGCCAGCACCCTTGGAAATGTGTGTGTGGTGGGGGACACGTTTCTGGAATGTAGTTAATTAGTAAGCTGTGGGCTAAAGAGTAAACCCAAATATCTTAGGGGCCCACAGCTCTATCCATTGCTGTTGTGTGGTTTTGGCTTAACAGCTGAGCCCTGCAATATTGGGCATTTCAAACAGCATTCCAAGCAGCAGCCGAGAAGAAAAATGAAACCAGTTGTCGTTGAAGTCAATGCTAACTCATAGCGACCCCATGTGTGCCAGAGGAGAAATGTGCTTGCTAGATCACCAGGCCCCTTTCCCCCAAGGTGCCTCTGGGCGGGCTAGGAGCACCAACCTTTTCAGTCAGCCGCTGACCATGTTAACGTGTTGCACCATTCAAAGACCTCCTGAAAAGAAAAACACAGGACGCTAAGCCTTTGGGACCAGATTTATTTAAATTTGGGAGGTGTTTGAAAGGTAATATGGTGCCTACATGATTATCCCCAGCTAAGATTGGGTTGTTCCAGCAAATCTAAGGTGTCAGTCTTTCTGGAGTGCCCACATTGGATAAATGAGGAGTATACAACCTGTGTAGCGTAGTGGTTACGAATCAGGCTGAGAACCTCAGGGTCAGCAGTTTGAAACTACCAGCTGTTTCATGGGAGAAAGATGAGCTTTTCTGCTCCCGTAAAGATTGACAGCCTCGGAAATCCTGTTACAGGGTCGCTATGAGTCGGAACCAACTCCATGGCACATAACCACTACCACCACCATACAGCCTTGTGCGTGGCACTGTAGGATAAGCACTTGACCACAAAGTCAGTTTGAACTGCAGGTTGGCAATTCAAACTCACCAGCCACTCCTCAGAAATCGCATATGGGGTCGCTGTGGGTTGGAACTGACTCAACGGCACTTGACAGTAACGGTATACCATTTGGGTTGGGTTTGGACACCAAGTCAGTTCAGGTCCTAACAGATTTTGCTGCCAAATGAGGTAAGTTTTTATATATATAAAGTCTCTGCTTTTAGACTTGTTTGGAATTCTAGAATGGTATGGTGACAGATTGTGGAACTGTAATAGTACCAGGTTACTGGTGATGTTGCAAGCGAGAATTCCATGAGCAGGAAGGAGGCAGGCTCCTGCCCAAAAGGGAGAGACAGAATCCCTGATTTCTGGAATCCTCTTGAAACGGTCTCTAACCACACGTCGTTTACACGTTTTGTGTGAAATGGCTGAACTCATGGGAGAAAAGGTACCCCCATGGCACAAACATCAGAGCATTTATGTCTGGAGCCGGCCTTTGGAGACCTTATCCATGGCAGAAGAGTGGCGAAGGCCACAGATCGGAGGGCTCAAGCCTCCCGGTTAGCACCCTCCTGTTGCTTAGAGATTTTCTTGGCTCCAAGTCAGAGCAGTTGCCATTCTGTACTTAGATCCCAAACCAGATGGTGGGAGGTAAAAAATAGAGACCTCCATATGGCTCAAGCCTTTCTTTTTTCCCAGAGTTCTTAGTCTTCTTTCCATGTCATGGGTGCAAGGGGAGGTTTTGATATAGGCTGATCAGGAACACTTTGCTGAAGGAAAATGCCTCCCTGAACCCCCGCAGTGTCAAAAGTATAGGGACCCCGTCCTTCAAGGTGGTTCCAGTTTCCTATGTTGACTTTGTCCTGGTTTTCTGGTTTGCTTGAACGTCTTAGTGGAATGGTGTCTTTAGGGCTTTGATGGTTATTCTTCCATGTTTCTGTTGTTTTCTATGAGTGTCTTTGGGTAGGTAATGTCCACATCTTCGCTAGACCTAGACCAGTTCCCATGGAATTGACTGTAACTCATGGTGACCCCATGTGTGTCACATTAGAACTGGGACTGATGCTGGAGGCAGCAGAGAGAAAGGAATCCTTCATGCTCAATCACTGTGTATGTGCTGGACTATTATGCTTACCTGTGTCGATTATTGTAGTTTGTATCATACAGGGCTTCAGAGTTTGGTCTATAGTAGGATCAGCACTGGGCTGCAACCACAAGGTTGATGGTTCAAGCCCACCAGCCATTCTTTGAAACCCTATACAGGGTCACTATGGAAACTCTGTACGGGGTCACTGTGAGTCAAAACTGACTCATTGGCACGTAACAACTCAAGTCCTTGTGTGGATCTGTAGGATAAGCACTTGGATTGCTAACTGCAAGGTCAGTGGTTCAAACCCACCAGCCACTCCTTGGAAACCCTATACAGGGAACCAACTCAACCGTACTTAGCAGCGTCAACATTCAAAATGAGGAGTCCTGGTGTGGCACTGTAGGATAAGCACTGGGCTGCTAACCCAGTTCAGACCTACCCTTGGAAACCCTATACAGGGTCTCTATGAGTGAGAACTGACTGGAGTCAGAACAGTTATCAGCTTCATCAGGGAGCTCATTTGAACTGCAGACAGTCAGCCTCAGCCCCCAGACTTGGGGCATCAGAGTCTGCATTTGAGAGGCACTCATTCAGTGCAAGTACCAGGAGTATGGAGGAACTGAAGTGAATTTACCCCCCCCCCCAGAGATCTAGAAATCTCTTTTATCTTTGCAAAAGATTTGTTTAGGCCTTTCTTGGCACACAGGATCATTTACTGTTTTCATTCTTTTCCTATTTGTGGGGAGAGATATTGCAGAATTGCCACGAACACATCCGTGTGCTGAATCCTGGGTGGTTTGAAAGACTGTGATTTGACCTTGATTCTCTTCCCTCCTTATTGGAAATTCTACCTTATTTATTATTATTATTTTTTTCCTTAGTGAAGAAGGTTGGGGACAAGTCAGTGAAAATGGGAAGTGTGGGTTTTGTTTTTTTGTGTATGTGTGGCACGGGGGGAGGGAAGCAAGGAGAAAGTAGTTCATGGGAGCTTGGGTGAAATTCTCAAATGTCCCTTCTCTTTAATAGAATTCACTGACATGCAAGATGGCATATACTATAGACTGCAAATTCGTGGACCAAGGACAACTACCCATATGCATGTTTCATGCTGTCAAGTTAGTTCCAACTCACAGCCACCCTGTACAGGGTTTCTGAGGAGCAGCTGGTGGATTTGATTGAACCGCCAACCTTGTGGTTAGCAGTCCAGTGCTGATCCTAAAGCGTCACACTAGGACTGCACCCATATGCAGGTCCACCTGTCATTCAGTCGGAATATGTAAA